TGTAAGTTCCCCCCTCTGTGAGAGACCATCTAACTGCTTGAACCCCATGGGTTGCCTCAATTTTCTAAGCCACAGTCTAACATTTTTACCATGGGCAAGCTGATTACATACCTAGTGCATCCTGAGTCCAATAGGGCAGTAAGGGTCTCCTTTACTCTTGAAGAAGGTACAAACAGTTCTACTTTGGTAGGTCATTGGATAAATATGACCACTTACCATCCTCCTTTTACTATAGTCCAGGTTTCTCAGAGGTTGAAGTTTTCTCCCCTTCACCAGAGGGTGGAGAGACTTCGACAACCTGTTGAGCCACTTTGGTTCTTTCCTTGGTTTTTGGTTCCGGCTTCTTTGGCTTCGACTTACTTGGAGGGCAACGGGCTGCCATTGGATGTGGGGCAAGGCAATCTGCTGCTCAGTGTCCCTCCTTAGCACCTAGAAACATACTCCCATACCCTGAGAGGGTCTCTTTCTCTCAGTAATATTACTCTTGCTTCCTCAGCCAGCCACCCATCTCTCACCCACAGGATGAGATTGAAGATTTTGACCAGTATGCTGTCAGTAATCCATCAAATCTAATTCCACCTCAATAGTTAACTGGTACCAGTCACAGAGGAGATGGGGCACCCCTCTGGGTAGACAGTTGTAATACAGTTCCTTGTTTAACCCATCTCAACATTGGTAGAGTAACATATGCTTCAGCCACAAGTGACCAAGCTACAAAATTCCCACATATATTCAGCCACCAGTCTCTTCCCTTGCTTGATTGTCTGACTCTTGAGTCATCCTTTCTTGCTTTGGCAGTATCTTCAAACTGATTCTGTAGCTCTGGCATGAAGGCATCCACATCATAGAGCTCTGGGACTGCCTCATCATAGAGAGACACCAAGCACTCTGCTGCTTCCCCTTCCAGATTAGCTGAAATAACATTCACATGTGATCTGTCATTAGGATATCTGTTGCTATACCTTTCTAAATAGTTCCACCACCTGGGTCAGGAAATAAGCCAGCTTTTCCAGTTGTTTGTCAAACTTGACTTTAAAAGAGGCTGGGGCTCTTCCCTCACCAGTACATAGTTGGGTAGGAGACATAGTCCCGGTAATGCTGTCTGAGCCCCTTTCTGATGAGTTGGCCAAGGGTCAAGTGGTGTCTCAACTTTTGTCAGGATGGTAGTGGCTGGAACATGGTACCTCTGCTCCCCCACGTGGGTGACACCTGCCATCCTGGACCAGAGCAAAGCTACTGGCTGTGCAAAGATGGAGATGGGATAATAGGGTACAAGCCAAGTCCACAACTGACCACTTTGGCAGGGCAGCTACTTGCACTTCCAATCCCCTGAACATCTCTCTTAATTGTTCCACAGAATGGCTGCAAGTTGGTGCAGGGGGTCTCCAATCCACCGATTCTCCCCATTCTGCTGCCTTCTTGGACACCTTCATTGGACAAGCCTCAGATAGAGCCAGAGGAAACTCAGATTCTGCCACCTTTCTGAGGTCACTCCTTGCCAGACAAGGAACCTCTGTATTTCTTCCTCCTCCAGCAGTTCGAGTTGGTTCTAATGATCCAGCATTTTGCTTCAGGTGAGCTCCTGCCAACAGGTTGGTCTCTCCTATTTGGATTTTAGTCACCATCCTCAGGAGAGGAGCTCCTCTGTGTGGCAATCATCCATTGATCTTCATATCTATTGCAGAACTCACAATATACCAGGAAAGAAACTCAGGTAGGCTACAAAGCATATGAGAATTAGTTTAAAGTTTTTCTCCAGCTCGAGTATCCAAATAAAAGTCCAGGATTACTTTCATGTCTGAAAGCTTACTGTTTGTTGAATGCATGGCCTGGAAAAGGTGAGGAAAAACTAATTCTAAAGTCCTAGGGCATCAAACCATAGCATATAACAATGGCTTTCCCAGTCAAACCCCTCAGATGTTCATGTAGCTCATGTAAACAAGTTCTCTTTGTTATGGGACCTGTTTGCTATCTTATTCACACCTGTTAGAATGTTCTTGAAAAGTTTTCCTGCTGGGATTAAAGTATGGTTGGAAGAAATATTAGAGTGAGTGGTAGAACCAAAACCAGAACTCTTTCTATTAGGTTTAACTATGCAAAAGCATGACAAAGGCATACTTTATTTAATGTTACACATTTTAATGGCTTCCAGACTGGTTTTTGCTCAAAACTGGAGGAATAAGGGAACTCCAACAGAAGAAAAGATCCTGCATAAAATTGTATCATGTGCTAAGATGGACAGGCTTACAATGATTATGAAAGATAAGACAGCAACACGAATACTTCGAAATATGGGACAAATTTTACCGTTGGTATGAATTAAGGAGAACTGTTCGACTTCAAGTTAATGGTAGAATTAAAAGATATATATAACTGTACATATAATTGCATATATAATTGTATTGTATAGAAGGATGAGGCTTATATAGAGGTTAAGAACGATGTATTAAGTTTTTGTACCATGAGAAACAAACTGTTAGGAAAATTCATTCTGGAATATCATGTTTGTCCATTTCTGTTTTAATTGTATTATGAATAAAAAATTTTAAAAAAAAGTTTTCCTGCTGCTGATTCTCAGCAAGCTTCCATAAAACTGGAGAGGTTTCATTTCTCTAACTAACTTATTTGAAAGCAACACCTTTCCCTCTTAGTCTAATGGCAAAATAAAAACAAAGATGCACGTAGCTGCCAAATTTTCACTCTTGACACCATCATCTATTCTTTTCACATAAGCCACTTGTTGGGATAGTCAAGTCCTACTTATATATTTGAAATTTTTGCCTATTACAGAATCATGTTTCTAAGCAAACTAAAAGAAAAAAGCTGCTTTGTAAATTCAAAGAAACCTTGCCAATGTATTGGCAATCATCCAGAGAGCAATCAACTTGCTATTCATTCTTGACTTTGAAGACCTTATTTGCATTCTACTATCATTTTAGGTCATTGTTTTCCCCAATTAGGGCCTTAAAATAATATTTAAATGTAGAAACCAAAAATAGCTAATTCTCATATAAATAACTTCTCAGAACATGTCTTTTGGGATTAAATCATTCAGTCAGGGTTAATCATATTAAATCTTTGTACTTCATTTTAACTAAATTGAAGCATGGGCTATTAGTATGTAACTTTCAAATGTACAGATTGGTTCAATTGTCATTTTTGTTGCTAAGTAAATGTTATTCTAGAGTGGGCTTAACAATGCTGTAGTATTTCAGATTTCTATGGTTACAGTCCATAATACACTTATAAATTCCATTAAGGCAATTTTGCACATCTTTTCTGTTCGAAGTGTGTGGTATTTAACTCAGGCCAGTCTCACTCTTCCTGTTTTAGTGGTAAAATTATAATAATATCATTGAAATGAGTAACAATGTTTTCCCTTTTCATTTTTTAAAAATATTTTTATTAAAAGTTTTAACTACTATATTAAGAGATAATACAAACAAAAATGAAAAACAGAAAGAGAGAATAAAAGATGCAACAGAGCAAATAAGAAAGAAAAAATAGAAATTAGTTAACAATTATAAAATTCATCATTTTAACTCTAAACTGTAACCAAATCTAATACACATGCTTTCTGGGCAAGACAAGAAACTAATTAAGGAGAGAAGAAACATGGAATTAAGGAGAAACTTCCTAACAGTGAGGATAATTAACCAGTGGAAAAGCTTGCTTCAGATGTTCCATTACTGGAGGCCTTTAAGAAGAGACTGGACAGCCACCTGTCTGAAATGATATAGGGTCTCCTGCTTGAGCAAGGTCCCTTCCAGCACTATTCTGATTGAACAGTCCAGATGGAACATTGGGATTTTTAACCCTCCTTAAATAGCCAACTTTATGTTCTTTCCTGTTGAACAAAACAACCTTGTTCTTTCATCTATTCAAATGATTATTGATCCTTGTCTTGAAATTCTTCAAACTTCAAGAAGTTGCTTTTGTAAGTTCAAGAAGAAATTATTCCAATTGCTCTCTGGGACTGACATTTTTATTTCCCTCTTACTTTTTAAATTTTCATTGTTTTGGATTAAAAAAAATTACAAATTCCAATGACAAATTCTTGTTCATGCTCGTCTCCACATTAACATCAGTTAAGCTTGGTTGAAAATTATTTTCTATAACAACTTCTTCTGGGACCAGATTCTTCATGACAATACACAGCTGACATTATTGTTTCAAGGTCTTGGTGAATTCCACAAAAATATATCTGAAAACTATTATAAGTTGACTGTCTTGTTATGTTTCTAATGTTGAAAAATATTTTTCTTTCGCACAAAAAAGCTTTTATTCTTTAGAATTAATTTCAAATTCAAATATTCAAAATTGAATATTCCAATATTTTAATCTATTTAAGACTTTCTATAGCCAAAACCTCATCTTGCTTCTTGCTATTTATTTTAAATCCTTTAAGGTTAAAAAGATACAGCTTTATTTTATTTTCTTTTTTTTTTTGAAACACATTTTATTGGTTTTTTAAATCTTAGAAAAAGGTGCTCAGGACACACCTTAGTGTTTGGGTAATCAAACATTCAACAATAGAACCATATATAAATAACTCAATTCAATACAATTTATGTCCCCTCTCTATTTCCCTCAACTAGCATAATACGTTTAAAATATTCAGTTTCTAATTTAAATTTCTATAACTGTTAAACCTGTTTTTAAACTTTTTAAATTTACAATCACCATAATCAAATTTAACTTTAAATCAACAAGTTATCAATTCGGGTATCCCTTCCAGCTATATTCTAATACTTAATCTCTTATATCCCTCATTTTATCACATGTCTCATTTATTTCTTCTTCCACTACACAATACATATCCTAATTAAAATAAAATATTAATCTACCCTATACATATATAATCCATCAATTGATCAATCTCTTTAAAATAACAAAATAGTGTAAGTCTTAACTCATTTCAATTCATTAAACAAAATTCAAATTTCATCCAATTGATTATCATGCATTATAACATCTATATTATCATACAGAAGCATCATCTTACTAATTTTAAACAATTAATTATTAAAACAATCCAACTCTAAAAAGCCAGCATTTTTTTCCATTCCAATAAATAATAATTTTCATGAAAATAAACCTATTATTCCAAAAAGTACATTATTAATCTAATTAAAACATCTGTTCTAATAATCAACCTTTTTTCTTACTTCTAACTCTGAATCTTAATCCTTAAAACTGTCCATAAATCAACGTTGCCTTTACTCCATTACACAATTTTAAATTTCTCTTTTCAGTCTTATTCTGGCTTTTTTTCTGTGCCAAGAAGGTTTCCACAACCAAGCTTCCCTTTCAGCCAATAGATCTCTCTTTATTGCTTGTAGTGCCGTTTGAAACAATAGGAATCCCATCCTCTGCATTAGGCGTCTATTTCTCTCATCCTTAGAGCTTCGTTGCTTTAAAGTTTCCAATATCAATCTTTGATTCCTCTGGTCCTCAAAGCTGTAGATGGAATATTTATAAGATAAAATAACTTCCTCATTTATCTCAGTTGTTTCCTCTTCTAGTATGTTTTGATTTATAGAATAGTCAGATGTAGTCTAGAGATCAGTTTGAAGATTTAAAGTACGACTTCTGAATCTTAATTCTGTAGTAAACTCTATCATTGTAGCACATATTTCTGCAGTGGCCTAATAAATCTTTTCCAATATAAATTTGCAGTTTAATTGTAAATGAGCTTTCTCCATTTTGGTAGTAATTAAAAAGAGTCTCTTTTAAATTCTTGTGGAGGCTGTGTTTAATAAAAATTAAACAGTGTCCACCCCCACAACTCTCACAGCTGCATCAGCTTATCTTTTCTCTTTAAAAGTAATTTAAAGATCCATTTATTCCACCTCCAAAGAATAGCCAAAAGTTTCAATATTAGATTTTCACCACTAGATGTCCTCAGTAAATTAAAAAAACCTTTTCCAGACACCATTTTCCCCTTTTTTCTTTCTTTTGAAATATAATGTGAAAAAAGAAATAATCTTCCAGCATAAAATGATAGTACAGCTCTTAGAAAAATTTTTTTTTCCTGTACCCCAAAAGATATGAAAATAAAGTATAGTCTTTAAAATTTTATTGTATTTTGTTCAATGCCTTTCTTTCCAAACATGTAGAAGCTGCTTTTTCAAGCCAGGGAAATAATTCCAACAAGGCTCTTACAGGCAAAAAAAAAAAAAAAAAGCAAGATAAAATGAAGAGGAGCAGGAAAAAGAAAAAAAGTCTCACCCGGATTCACCACAGTGGGTCTTACAGCTTAGATGTTCTTTGACTTGCAGTTTGAAGCGGCAGGGTGATTGGCCATTTTACTGGCCGATCTTCTTCTCCGTCAGCCCTCAGAGATCGCTCGGACAGCTGGAGGAGCCGCTGCTTCTCCGCAGCCAAGCAAAGCCTCCACGACAGAAGTTGCACCCTCCAGGGCGACTTTCGACATGCAAAAGGGTCTACCAGTGGAGGGGAGCTAGCCGACGAGGAGACAAGTCTCTTCATATGGCTAGAGGCACCACGATCTGGAATCGGAAGCCCAGCTTTATTTTCTTATATTAATAATAGAAATCACTTACCTAGATTTAGCATTTTAAAAATGATCTGTTTTAAAACAATAAGCAATTTTTGAAAGTGGTTAGCAAAGGAAGTGTGAAGTCAACTTCCCTTCAGGCTCAGACAGAGATTGGAACAAGAATCGAAAATTTTCTTTTCTACCAGTCAAGGGAGCACAATGTGGACAATCTCACATCTTCTCTTTCTCCAAAGCAGGACAAAGGAGTCTATACAGCTTCTTATTCTTAGCTGCAATCATTGGCTCCATTTTTCATGAAGCAGTCTTCAGTCTACCATGTGCCTGAGGAAATCTTTTTTTTCATGGCATCTATCAGTTTGAACAGCTGTCTTATTCTAGACCAGGACTTTTCAACCTTTTCACAGATTGTACCACTTTTAGGACATGACAATTTTTGAGTACCACTAGTGCTTAGCAAGGTGTCAAAAACTTGATGATGAAAAGAAAGGGGGGGGATTTTGCGTTTTACTGATTAGATTCATTTGTTGTTATAAAAATGGCTAGTTTATAATATTATGGAAAAGTAAAAAAGTTGAGGTTCAATGTTAATGCTTCCTTGTACTGCAACAGAGGAAGTATATTCTTTTTCCCTACTCCCCCTCACTTCCCCCCCTTTTTCTTCCCCACTGTGTCCTACTATTTGCTTTTGTATTTTTGTATTTTATTCTATAATCTAATAAAATATTACAAACTGTAGAAAAAAAGTAAAAAAGTACCAGTTTTAATTTATTCAGTGGCTGTTCCTTTGCTGAATCACTTTCCCTTTGCACTGACAAGTATATGATGAATTTATCCATGTTTATTAATATGCACCACTACCAGCTAGTTCAGGGGTCTTCAAACTTTGCATTTTTAAAACCTGTGGACTTCAACTCCCAGAATTCCTCAGCCCTCATGGCTGGTTGAGGAATTCTGGGAGTTGAAGTCCACAGGTCTTAAAGTTGCTAAGTTTGTAGACTCCTGAGCTAGCTGGTTTACCCTTCTGAGCTCTTCCAGTGTAGTAAGAATGCACCCCCAATCCCTTCCCTGTAACTTTAAAGACACAGGAATCAAGTGCAAAGCAAGAAAATAAAGAAACACAAACACTGTTTTTTTTTCTCTTTAAGCTGCCTCTGGCATGTCACGTGTCGCAATGTTGCAATTCTAGACTAAAAGGCTCTGGCAATTGAGAAAAGCTTTAGCTTTAAATTAAGCCTGTTTACCTTCAAAGAAAACTTTCTAAAAGCCACAGACAGACTCAGTTAAAGGGGGTAAAACTAATTATATTTGTTTAAAGGGATTAAACCTTTCCTGTTGTCTTTTTTCCCCTTCCCCCACCCAAACCACATTCTTTTATAGCCTCTCCTCTCTTCTCCCCCTTTTCTTCAGTTCACCTCCAGCTCCCAGCTGCTTCCAGAAGCACCAATTAGCTGGAGCCAATCAGCTGGAGCCCTGCAGGCTCCTGGGGCTTCTGCCGAGCCCAGACAGTCCTACAGCTGCAGCTGCCTCTCCCTCAGGCTGCTTAGGCTCATTCCCCTCCCCTGCTACACTTGGCTAGCAATCGCATACCACCTGCCATGTGGCAAAGTACCACAAGTGGTACATGTACCACCAGTTGAAAAGCCCTGTTCTAGACAACTATTTGGCCTAATTATTTGGTCCTACATTCCGTAAGACCTATTGAATTCAATTGTTTTAAGTTGGTATAGATATACATATATGTCTACATATACATACACACGCACAAACATTTGTAGAGGCAGTTTGGTGTAGTGGTTAAAGCACCAGGTTAGAAACTGGAGGATATGAGTTCTACTTCTGCCTTAGTCACAAAGCCAGTTGAGTGACTTTAGGCCAGTTAATCTCTCTTAGCTTTAGATAGTAGGCAATGGTAAACTGCTTCTGAAAAATCTTGCCAAGAAAACTGCAGGGATTAGTCCAGCTACTGTGACTAATTCAAAAGGTGGAGTGGGAAGAATTATAGACTGTGACTTATAGTCAAGAATAACAGCAACAACAACTCCCTCTTTCCCTCTCACAGGTACAGTATGAGGGACCAACAAAAGCTTCTCTCACACAGTCATCCATGCAAGTACTAATCACTAAGATTTACTGGTGAGACAAGTACTTTGTAATCCTTTTGGCAATCAATGAAGCACACATGTAATATGTTCCTAAGGTTAAGAAGCCCATTGCATTTTGTATAAATTGCATTTTCTGGCTGGTCTTCAAAGGCAACAACATGTAAAGCTCATTAACATAGCCCAAATGCTTAGAAATAAGGCCATTATCAGGTCCTTGCAGTCTAGGTCAGACCAAAACATGCAGATCATCTGAAAAATTGTTTCATCCCAATTCTTTAGTTGCCCATCCAGTAGTAGTTCTGAATCCAGAAGGGCTTCCAAGTCACAAAACTATTTCTTCAGAGATGGGGCGTTGTCGAGGCTTTCAGTTCTGGGTCGCAGCGCTGCAGTCATTCAGAGAGGCTCATCTCTTTGCCAACCGAGTTTCCCCCACCGGTAGACCCTTGATTGGGTCAAAAGTCACCCTGGAGGGGTGACCACCATTGAGGAGGCTGCCTGTTTTACTGCAGAGGGGTGGCGACACCCTCTGCTGTCCAGGTGAGCTCCTTTGGGCCAACGGAGTAAAGATCGGTCAGTAAAATGGCCGATCACTTAGCTGCACCAGCTGTAAGCCACAAGAACATCTAAGCTAAATAGAACCACTGTGGAAGATTCGGTGAGACCTTTCCTTGCCTCTCCCTTTCCTATTTATTCCTGTGAAAAGCCTTTGGAATCATTTCCCTATCTTTTTAAAGCAGCTTTGTTGATGGGGGAAGAAAAGCCTTGGAACAAAAGAAAAATTAATTTTAACTTTTTCAATGGTTGATTTTATTTTTGAATATTTGGGAGTCCTAAAATCCTTGTTACAGAAACTTAATATGCTAGCAGTTTGGAGGATTTTTTTTGATTTTCTACTATTTTTATAACTAAAGAAAAGAAGGAAAAGAGGAAAAGAGGGAAGAAATTATTTTTATTGGGGGTCTAGAAAGACTGAACAACTGGTTAACCCTCTGGGGTCATCTTGCGGTGAAATTATTTACTGCAATTGTTATTCCTTTTTTTGGACTCTGAGTCTGACTTTGACCTTCAAATTATCTCAAAAGGAAAAGATAAAAAAGCTGTATAGCTGGGTGGAAGCAGATATTGACTGATTGTTATTAAAAACAGCCTCCACCAAAAGAATAATGGCTTTATATACTACTGAAATGGAGGAACTCTGTCCAGATTTCAATTACAAATATATATTGGACAAAATTCTTGAAAATACTAAACAAATAATTGCCTATACAAAAGAGATTATTTTTCAATGACAAATTAAAGCGCAAGGTGTAAGTGAGCACTTTGTAAGCCAAGAAACAGCAGAAGGGGTATATACTCAAGAGACCCATCTTCAACCTTATTTACAATTTACTGAGATGGAGGAATTAAACTTACATCAGGACTATCAACCTACACTGGAAAAAACTTTTGATGCTAATGAACAAATGACTCTTAGCACAGAAACTAAGGATGTTACCCCAGAAGGGCAGGTTGATCTCCAGACTCCAACTGATTACCTGACAGATAAAAAACCAATAGGAGGAGAGCAAAATAATATTAAAGAAGATTCTACATTATTTTATAGACAATCTATTGAGCTTTGGATGATTCAAAAATGACTGTAATTAAACTAGACGTAACTTCTAAAAAGATGAAGATGGATATTCAACCATGAGCTATTGAGAATTGCTACAACTTTTTTACTAGCCTATTAAAATGGACAATGGGAGATTCTCCCCTGATTTATGCATTACGGCAAGAAATGGAGGGAGTTTTATTTGTGGACTTAGAGGCCTTACTATGGAAACCTGTTTGGAACAGAAAGAAAGCTAGAATAAGATATAAATATGGAATTTAAGATTACATTTATGGGTTACAACGGCTTTATAGAGATGTGGATTGATTTGGATTTGGATTTTTAAAAGGTGTTTTTAGGATAAGATTTAGAATTTAATATTGAAATATAGTAAGAATATATCATTTGGAATAATAGATCTTCCTTCTTTTCTCTTCCTTTTTCTTGGTCTCTTGTTTCTTTCTATTATTTTTTTTCTTCTATTTTTCCTATGCTTTTTATTATTAGATATGATAGCTAATTTGTGGAGCTATAATGATAAAAAGATTGTAATGATGGAAGAGATGAAATTAATAAATGAAGAATTACTGAATAAGAAATAGAATATAGTTGAGAAATGTAAGAATGTAATTATGGAAATAATATGCTTAAATAAGAGAAATTATGGACATCCAAACTGTAAATAATATTTTTGTTTAAGACTAAGTTAGATATGGTATTTGGAAATTAATAAATCTAAAAACGGGGTTTGATTTACATCGATGAAAGGTTGTTTATAATTTCTATTGATTAATTGAATTCTTATTTAGGAATGTATTAATGAATTAATCTTACCTAGAAATGTATTAGTTTGACTATACTATTCTAATTGTTAGAGAGGGAAATTTTAAGGAGCATTATTTGAGCTATATATGTATGATGTTATTGTACCTAACTGATTACCCTATCTCCACGTTGTTTCTTAAGCTTTCTGGTGTAAAAAGGGATGAAGACGGGCAAAGACAAAAGTCCAGCAGTATGAGTTCTTGTGACCTGTGGAATAAGGTGTTTACCTTCGGAACAAACAATGGATGTCCTTATGTCCTTATGAAAAATGCATAGGTTGTCCCTGACAGAAAGTGCTGCCAGTTCCGACATGTGCCTGGCTGATGTAACGACCACTAGGAAGGCTACTTTCATGGACAAGAGTCTCAAATCACAGGTCCTAATGGGCTCAAACGGTGGCGTGGTAAGAGCCCATAATACACGTGACAGATCCCACAAGGGGTATCTATGGACTGGAGGAGGTTTTGTGTTGGGTGCTCCCTTGATAAAGGAGCATACCATTGGGTGATGGGCTAAAGAGGATGAATCATCACATGACAGCACCATTGCCAGGGCTGCCACTTGCCTTTTGATGGTATTTGACAATAAGCCTTTATCAAGCCCCTCCAGCAAATATTCTAGGATTCTAGGTATAGTGATGGATGAATTATCAAATTGATTCCTGGTACACCAGAGAGAAAAGTTCTTCCAAGTGGAGTCATATATTCTGTTTTTAGAAGAACATCTGGATGCCTGGATCATGTTGACTACTCTCGTTGAATAGGATTCCTGGTTCAGATGTCGCCACTCAAGTGCCAAGAGGTTAACTGGAGCCACTGGGGATCTGGATGTTGAAGGGCTCCCTGGCTGAGGGCAATGTGATCCAGAGGGATTTTCCATGGAGGAGAGATGGAAAGGCTCACGAGGTCAGCAAACCACGGACGTCTCAGCCAGTATGGAGCAAACAGTATGACCTTTGCCCTTTCCTGTAATAGTTTGCGAATGACTTCTGGCATTAGAGGAAGAGGGGGAAAGGCATATAGCAAGTCCCTGGGCCATGGGCTGCATAAGGTGTCCCCAGAGACGGAAAATGGGAAAAGAACCTCAGGAGCTGGGAATTCGCCAGAGATGCGAACAGGTCCAGTATCGAGTGACCAAACCTCTCCGCTATCTCTGTGAATAGTTTGGGATGTAGGCACCACTCGGAGTGGTCCACCATTGCCCTACTCAAGGCGTCTGCCTGCCTGTTTATCTCTCCCGAGATGTGTTCCGCTCTGAGGGAGGAGAGGTTGGTCTCTGCCCAGGAGCACATCAGCCAGGCCTTGGTCATGAGGGACCCGGACTGGGTGTCCCCCTGTCAGTTTATGTGGGCTTTGGCCACTACATTGTCCATAAGGACTAGGATGTGCTGTCCTCTCACCTCGTACTTGAATTGATGTAAGGCGAGGTGTATGGCTCTGAGCTCCAACCAGTTTATGTTGTGCTTCAGGTCCAGTCGGGACCACCTTCCCTGAGCCAACTGAGATTGGAGATGAGCCCCCCAACTGAAGAGACTGGCGTCGGTAGTGAGAGTGAGCCGTGTCGGCTCCTTGAAAACGAGCCTCTTGCTACCACTTGGGAGGTCCATCAGTGGAGGGATTTCAGTGTCTGAGGTGGGACCCTTACTCTTCTGTTGGAGGAACTGATTCTCCACTTCTGAAAGGGGAGTAGGAACCATTGCAGGTCTCTGGAGTGCAATCTGGCCCATGGCACTATAGAAATGCATGAAATCATCTTCCCTAAGAATTGAGAAAGGGTGGCCAGAGAAACAACATGGTCCTGATGGATCTGACGTACCAGGGTCTGGATACTGTTCTGGCGGTCCAGCAACAAGTAGACCATGCACTGTCGCATATCTATGACCACTCCCAGATGAAGAAGTCAAGTGGAGAGAACTATCTGGCTTTTTAGAAAGTTTACAGAGAACCCATGGTACTGAAGGATCTCGATGGAGAGGGCCAAGTCTGACCTCACTGTCTGAATGGACACAGACTGTATGAGAATGTCGTCCAGATAGCACTGGATCCATATCGGAACCAGTCTCAGGTGGGCGGCTAGAACCGACAAGATCTTTGTAAACACCCTTGAAGCGGATGACAGGCTGAACAGCAGGGCTCTGTATTGATAATGATGGGATCTGTAATTGAATCTGAGGAATCTGCGATGTTCAGAGAGAGAATCGGGACATGTAGATACGCTTCCGTGAAGTCGATAGACATCAGGAAGTCGTCCCTTCTGATGCTGGCCAGAATAGATTGGAGAGTCTGCATCTTGAATTTCTTATATATCAGATAGGAATTTAGCCTTTTCAGATCAAGAATGGCTCTCCATCCTCCAGAGGCCTTCACACCACAAAGAGGATGGAGTAGAAGCCTCTCCCTCTGTTCAGCCAGTACCGGTTCCATGGCCCTTATCTCCAAGAGGTGACATATGGCCTCATTCATGAAATTCCTCTTTTTCGGATTTAGTGGAGTTGGGCAAGGGATGAAATGATCCGGGGGTCTGGATAGGAATTCTAGGGACAGACCGCTCCTGATAGTGGAGAGGACCCAAGCATCTGTGGTGGTGACCTCCCAGTTCTGAATAAACAGAGAAAGCCTGCCACCAATGGGGGGGGTCCCTCCCTGCAGTCACTTATTCCTCCTAAAGGGACGGCCCCCAGTGCCTTGAAAAGGCCGCTTTGATTGGAACTGCTGTCTGGCCTTGGGTCCAGATCGGTCCTGTTGGTGGTCGGTCCTGGGAGGGAAAGAGCAGGATGGTTGGAACCACTCCGAACCTGAGCGGGGGTGAAATGGCTGTCTGCGATAGTACAGGCTAGGCCTTCTGTCCGCCTGCCTGGTTTGGTGAGACAACACCTTTTTCTTGTCTCGGACCTCCACTAAGTAAGGATCGAGAGCTTCACCAAACTTTAAGTCCACTTGTCATTGTTTCAGTCAGAGGAGTCGGCAAGCTGACACGTTGGCGGCTATAACTTACCCAGATTTTGGTGAGCCTGTACCTGCTCCTGGGGAATCATGGCCTGAAGCTCTTAAAGCCATATGATGGATGTTCTGGAAAAGGAGACGGAGGTGGACTCCTTCACTGCCCACGTGGACGCCTGATGGGACCTGCATAGAGAAAATTCTGGCTTTCTTTCCTCCAGTCTCAAGGCTTCCGCCATGTCCCCTGGTACGGTGGAGGAGGAAAAGATAGGTGTTAGTGATGTATTGACCATCAGGACCTCTAGCAGCTCCATCAGGGAGGGGGCCACATTAAAAAGCTTTCTATCAGTGACCCCTGGGGTAGGGGAGCCGCTAAGACTACCCCATTGTTTTTTGGCGGTACAGAGGAAAAAGGGAGGACATGGGATGTGCTTTTGGGTCACGGTGGGTTTGGAAAACAGTAAATCTGGGGTTTGACTGGTGGAAGGGCTGGGTTGTGGTTCTTGTTCAGGCTCAATCTTGGCTGCTGTAGTTGCATTAGACAGAAGAGATCTCAACAATACGGGGTCAAACAAACCCACGAAGGGGAGGGGCCCGGGGACGCCTCCTCATCCTCCGACAATGGTAGGTCTTGTGGATAATCTGTATCCGAATATAATCCGCTGAAGCAATGGAACAAGCATATTCTGGGGGTTCAGATGGGAAATGAACTGGAGATGCAGGTCTGGGCCTCTGCAACAAGGAGGCAATACTCTGGAGGAATATGGGCAGGACATCCCCAGCGACAAAGCCCGCATCCGGAACGTGCAATCTGCCCTGAACGGACCGGCTGCAGACTGGGTGGTGAACTTGCATGACTCCAATGCCCCAGAACTCAGCAACTTCAACCGTTTCATGTCCTCTCTGAGAAGACGATTTGAAGACCCCCTGGCTGATCGCAAGGCCCGTGAAAGGATAAAAATGATGAGGCAAGGCAAACACCTGGTGGCTAAATAAACAAAAGAATTCCGGGCCATTGCCAGCAAACTGAACTGGCCAGAAGACATCCTCCTTAGCCATTTCAAAGACGGACTAAATTATGATCTATATGACAGTTGCCTGCCCCGAGGGGACCCACACCAACTTGAGGAATGGTACATTTTGGCAGAGGAAGCAGAGATCGACGTATTGAAGAGACACCGCTGAGGAAAACAATGGAGCTGCTCCCCGCCTGAGTTGTCACACGAACCAGTGAAACCATTGGCTACCAGCCAAGAAGCAAATGGTGTGTTTCAAGTGCAGAAGAGAAGGGCATCGAGCTGTAGAATGCCGCTCCAAAGCCCCCCAGCACAACCCAGACAGATCCCCAATCAGCAAACCCAGAAAGTCTTCAGCTAAGCCAAAAGAAACTGCCATGAGAATGATGGAAATTGCGGAACCCCCCACTTCTGCTCATCAAGGGGAAAGAACTCCAGCTTACACCTCAGGGCCGGTGGATGCCTCAGATGACAGCTCAGAGGGCGAACCCCTGGTAAGTGGACACATCACACCCATCCTCAAGACAGTGACTATATTAATTCCCCCCATGCCCGAAGCTGTGAACGTGAAAGCCTTAATAGACTCTGGCTGCACCCGCTGCCTCATTAGCCTAACACTAGTGGGGAAACTGGGCACCCCATCGAGGAGACTGGAATAAGAAATCTCATTTGGCCAGTTAGATGGATCCATAGCAGGGGGGGTGCCAGCTACCCTAGCCACTCTACCAATACACCTCTCCCTGGGCAAACATGAGGAGGACATAACGTTTGTGGTGACCCCAGGCATGGAATGCCCAATGATCCTAGGGATGGAATGGTTAAAAAAATGGAAACCCTGGGTAAATTGGAGGACGACAGAAATCAAATTCCTGAAGGGGGACCCTATGGACTTAAACCCCAAGGGAGGCTACCAGAATCAAGAATAGAAAAAGCATCCATAGGAGAGGAAAAAGGACTAACAGAAATACCAGAGGAATACAGAGACCTTGCTGAAGTTTTCAGTGAGGAAAGGGCGAATGAGCTCCCCCCCACCGACCCACAGACTGTGCCATTGAATTCAAGCCTGGGGCAAAACTCCTGAAGCCCAGATTATACTCCATGAGCCCAAAGGAGAAGGAGGAAATGGAAAGATTCATAAAAAAAAAACCTAGAGAGAGGTTTCATTGAGCCAGTCAAGCCTAAAGTGGCTGCCCCGGTCCTTTTTAGAGAGAAGAAGGATGGCTCTTTACGCTTATGTATGCATTATAGGGCCCTGAATACAATCAGTGAAAGCAACCTATACCCTCTGCCCCTCATGAAAGACATGCTGTCACACCTCTCGAAAGGGAATTTTTTTTTCTAAACTAGACCTAAGGGAAGCTTACTATCGCATGAGAATTAAGGAAGGGGATGAATGGAAGACCGCATTTAACTGCCCCATGGGGTGCTATCAATTCAAAGTTTTCCCATTTGGATTACAACGGGGCCCTGCAGTCTTTATGCAATTAATCAATGATGTTCTAAGGGAGCACCTGTTCAAGGGTGTCCTTGTTTACTTGGACGACATTCTTATCTTCACTGAAAGAAAAGAGGAACATGTCAACCTTGTCAGAGCGGTTTTTAAAAAAACTGCAAGCTGCCCACCTATATGCCAAACTCTCAAAATGCGAATTCCACCAGGAAAGGATAGACTACCTAGGCTATCGCATATCCCCCCAGGGCATTGAAATGGACCCAGAGAAGGTCAGAGCAGTATTAGATTGGGCACCACCCTGCACAAGAAAGCAACTACAAAGTGTCCTGGGCTTTGCAAACTTTTACCGCCAATTCATCCCCTCATTTGCCCAGATAGTCTTGCCCCTCACTAACTTACTAAAAACGAAGGAAGCATCCTCAGTAAAACCTAGCCAGCCACTAACATGGACAATGGAGTGCCAAGCAGCGTTTGAGAGACTAAAGAGACTTTTTTCTGCCGAACCAGTACTAAGACACCCAGACATGGACAAGCCCTTTGTAATACAGGCAGATGCAAGTGATGTAGCAGTGGGGGCTGTTCTATTACAAGAAAACGATGATGGAGTATTGCAACCCTGTGCATATACATCCAAGAAACTCACGGAAACAGAACAGCGCTGGCCCGTAAAAACTTTACACTTAATTAAACGGCAATTTTGGTGGCCATCAATTAAAAAGGACATAGAAAGTTATGTAGCCAGTTGCCCAAAATGTGCCACTGCAAAGAGGTTGCAAGGGAAATCGCCAGGACTATTACAAACAGTGGCAAATCCCTCAGCCCCCTGGTGAGAAATAGCCATGGATTTTATAGTGGAATTGCCAGAAAGCAATGGGAATACTGTTGTCTGGACGGTCACGGACTTGTTTTCCAAACAGGTGCACTTTATCCCTTGCCAAAAGATTCCCACTGCAAAAGCCTTAGCAAAACTTTTCATCCAGCACATTTACAGATTGCATGGGGCACCCCAACGCATCATCTCTGACAGGGGGGTGCAATTTATGTCTGCATTTTGGAAGGAATTTTTATCCGTCTTAGGAACTACTCAGGGACTGACATCTAGCCACCACCCACAAGGGAATGGGGGGGGGGCTGAAAAAATGAACTCCGTGCTTAAGCAATATTTAAGATGTTTTCTTAGTTTCCAGCAGACCGAGTGGGCAGACTTACTCCCTTTTGCAGAAGTTGCCTACAATAATGCAGTCCACTCCAGCACAGGCTACACTCCTTTTCAAATAGCCACCGGTCAAAGTTTCAACCCCATGCCAGAATTAACCCCAAATGAACCAACGATCCCATCACTGAAAGAATGGATGGAAAAACTACAAAACACCTGGCCAACAGTTAGAAAAGCACTAGATGAAGTTAGGCAGGCATACAAAGCACAAGCCGATAAAAAAAGGGTTGAGCCTACACCATTCATTATAGGTGAAATGGTGTACCTATCTACAAAATACCTAAAGTCCCTACAACCCTGTAAAAAACATGGACCAAAATATATAGGGCCTTTTCCAATTAAAAGAGTCATAAACCCAGTAACAGTAGAATTAGAATTACCAAAAAATCTCAGGCAAATACACCCAATTTTTCATTGCAGCTTGCTGAAAAGAGAGCATCAGTCAGTTTTACGGCCAAAAATCCCCCCACCACCACCTCCAATCATGATGGAGGGCGAACAACACTTCGAAAAAAAGGAAATCCTTGACTCTAGGAGATATCATGGAGTGACTCAGTACCTAGTTGCCTGGAAATACCTCCCTCCCTCACAAAACGAGTGGGTCCATAAACGTCATGTCAGAGCCCCGAAGCTATTAAAGAAGTTTCACACAGAGTATCCTAACAAGCCTGACTAACTTTTATACCTGTTTTGTTTTCTTTCAGGTGGATCTGTCTTATTTTTGAGGGGGCAGGATGTCAGAATCCAATTATATTTCATCTCTAGTTATCAATTATAGAAAACCCCATTTCTGCCTTCTATGGATTCTGCCATACGAGGAAGGGAAGGGGGTGAACAAAGGGGCTTTATGGCCCTCACTTCCTTCAGTATACTTCAAAGGAACTGAATGTGTGTATTGCCAAAAGAGCTAACCATAAGAATGGGGCTATTGCCTTTCATGTAGTTTTCTTTGAAGTCTCCATCCAGCCGGCAGTAATGAAAAGGGGGTGGGAGTGTAATGCCTGAGACTGTCGCTGAAAGAGGGGGGTGATTGGGTGGGGCTACTGGGGAACCCCTTAAAACCTTGAATGGGAGAGCTTGGATCCCAAGTCCTGTCTAGAACGCCTGCAACCATTTTCTCTTAATAAAGTATTCCTGTTGGAAGAATTATTCCAAGAGTTCTGTCTTCTTAAGATGCAAAGTGATGTGGGTCGTTACAAAGTGGTTAGGTTAGAAGACCTCCAGAAACACTGCCCACTCTGTTATTCTGTTAACTCAATCTTGTTTGGATTCAGCCCCAGCTTATTTCTTCCTATCCAGATGGCAATAGTTTTTAGGCCCTGGGGAAGAAACTTCCAGAGCATGATCAGTATGGCCCAGGATAGATGTCACCAGTGTGCTGATAATACAATATCCTGAAGTGATGGAGACTCTCCCAGCAGCTCTGAGTAATGTTAGACAACTGGGATGAAAGGATGAGACACTTTCACCACACTGTAAATAAAAGGAAAAAACAGGGTCAACCTCATCCCTCCATGACATGATAAGGAAGAAATTTTAAGAAATAGATTCAGTGACCT